TCTGTGTGACCTTGGGCAAGTCATTTTCTCTGGGTCTCAGTTCCCCATCTCTAAATAGTAATAGTACTTCCCTAACTTGAGGGAGTTGTGAGGTGTTCATGACTACAGCAATGGAGGACACCTAAGTACCCAAGGCAGATAGATACATCAGCAATTTGATGGAGTAGACCTTGCCGTTGTCTTTAAATGGTAAAACATTGCCGGAAGATCAACTCCCTACTCTTTTTAATCCTTTTTTAAAATGCCCCAAATGATTGTTCTTCAAATGTTGTTTAAAAAAATAAAATGTGGATTCTTTGCACAGCACCTTTCCAACCAGCAGATCTTTTTCAGCAATTACAAACACATGGGTTTATAATGGAAACACCGCCAACGTCTGAATAACAGCAATGCTATAATTAAAAGCAGAACTCAGCTAGTGATCAATCCAGCAAGCTGCTGAGCACTCTGGGCCTGAGTCAGCAAAGCACCTAAGGGTGGGCTTCTCTTTAAGCAGAGGGGAGATCCCAACTATCTTGCAAGATTTATTGCTAAAACCCCAAATGTGCATATGAATTTTTGGACCATGCATATCATTTAAATGGTTGGCTGTAGATAATCTCTGTCTCTAATGTTGTGTCTGGGTTATTGTGGTTCCATGTTTTAGCTAATCTACCTATCGTCTTACAGTGATAACCATCGGCATATTGTCTGGGTGCCTGGCCTTGATCTCAAATTAGCTCTTCAGTCCTCAAGCAAAACATGTTGGCAGTATAGGGCTTAAAGTGCGTCAGTTACGCTGATTCTGAGATCACCACGAGAATCGAGAAAGCTCGGGAACAGCCTAATCACAAATCAGTGACAAGCTACCTGCACAGGCAGCACAGGCCCTGCTTTTGCTTTCTCAGCCACAGCAGCCACAATTGCCCGCAGGCCTGTGTCAGCATTAAGTGAATCTAATTCTGGGGAAGTCTCCTGGCTTGACCCATTAGGCCAAATTCGTCCCTGATGTTACTCCACTGATGTCAATGGCATTACTGTGCCTAGGCACTGCAGAGGTCGTAGGTCAGCACGTGATTTTTCATGTACTGTAATAACTCTTGCTATGCTCCAACCACTTGGCAACACTTCTCTTACTAGTTAGGGAAGGCAATGAGGCCTAGGGTATGCAGTAGTGTCTCCAGTGGATAGGGCACCAGAATTGGAGTCAGAGACTTTGTTTCTATGCCTGGCTCTGTTACTGACTTCCTGTGTGACCTTGGGCAAGCCACTTCACCTCTGTGCCCTCTCCTACCCTTTGTCTTTCTTGTGTATGTACACGGTAAACTCTTTGGGGCAGGGACTGTCTCTCACTGTGTGTTTGTATAATGCCTAGCATAATGGGGCCCCATTTCAGTTGAGGCTTATAGTGGATACTGTAATACAAATTAATAAATATAATAGTAGTACGTAAATACCTTTTCACCTCATGCTGTAAATATTCCACTGTGATGAATGTAGTAAGGTGGAATCCTCCATTGCTTTTAATCTATAGCTTCCATCTCTTCTGGACTGGGGTGGGAAGAAATGTTGACTAGCAACCATCTTCCAGGATCCCTTTATTACGGGGGGGAAAGGAGGTATCTTTCTCTACCAACATACTGATGAGGATACTGTGTTACCCTAGTAAATATGCTGATTAATATGAGCAACAAGATTAAAGAAATAATAACAAAAATCCCCTATATAAATAGTGAATGGTGTAAACTGTCCCCCGTTTACAGAACCATGGGAGGGTTAGCTGCCAATCCTCTCAGCTTCTCTAGTTCCAGTGAAATGTAATAATGTTCAGGGGCACAAATACCATGAAACCTCAGTCCTTAAGAGCAGCCATTTTCCAGACTGCCAGTCAAAGGCGTGCTTAGATGAGACAGCTGAATGTGCATAGTGGCTGTTTTCAACGGGTTAAGCATTGCATACTATAAGAGTGTATGTATACTACATTTTTAATAACCTAGAATGGGTTCTGACCTGAATGAACTCCTTGTGTTGCTTGCAAGGGCAGACAGCTATAATCAGGGAAAGAATTATTCTGACTTCTCATGTAAACTTTGCTTGATCATTGTGCTTCTCTGAACATTTCAATCCTGAAAGTACATATATTGCATGTTAAAAGCATAGATCTAGGTTTGCTCCCCTCCTTTGGGTATCTTTTTTAGTCTCTTGCTTTTGTAGAATCCAATTTTGCTGGACAAGAGGATTTTTTTTTTAAATCAAAGATGTGTGGTACCCAATTAACAACAAATACATTAATATGGTTTTAGTTTCCAGATAGTGTACCTTGACATATTCCTCTGAATTAGAGCATCGGTAACATCTATTTTACCTTACAGTACTTTGTTCTTTATTCAATACATAACCAAACCCACAGCCTGTATTTTTCTGGGGATAGATACAAACTTCCTCCCATGCAGGGCTAGATATAATCTCTCTCTCTCTTTCTACGCTGATGGGAGACAATTCAGGAAGCCCTCTTGTGCACAATGAAATTTCTGAAGATTGCAAATGGACATAGTGTAATTTAGGTCCCTTGCTGCTTGGGATTTTTCTCCATATGTTCTTGAGTCCACATTATTTACACACATTCCCAGCCATTAACTACGTGTCTCTTTTTTTCTAACTTACATTTATCCTTCTCTTCAATGCTCACTTTTCTGCAAGCGGGGCATGACCCAAAACCTGTTAAAATTATTGAGAGTCTTTCCATTGACTTCTTCAATGGGCTTTGAATCAGGCCCTCTGTAAGCTTTTTCTAGTATAAATTAATCCCAATTCCCCTCACAATGCTTCTCTGGAGGGTGTGCTTTGGTAATGGCTGGAGTGGAGCTAATTATTTGCAAGAAATAATGTATTTATATTAATTTATTTGATAGCTTTTTCCTGTTTTGGTTGCATAATGTCTCTAAACAGGCTGCAATTTGCTGCAATTTATTCTTCATTCTTATTCAACACATTCAAAATTACTCAATTTTTTGTGTGTGTCTTATTTGCTCTAGGACTTGCAATTCTGGGTGTGCCACTTAGTTGTGATTGGTCACATAAATCACATGGTATGGTGTCTGGTCCCTGATTCGACGATTAGAACCTTAGCCTCAGGTTACTGGTGTGAATTTGCTGTTGCGTCTATTCGTGGTAGTGACATTTAACCACGTGAATGATCAAACATGAAAGGAACATGGAGACAACTGAGGCAAATTCATTTAAATATTCAAACCAATATTTCAAGAAAAGATTTTTCATTATTCACCCATTATAAAAATCAGTCATTTCATAAAACTACTGAAATGCATTATAATATTTTCTACTTTACATCTTCAATGCACTGTACAAACATTAGCTAAGTAGCCTCTACAGCATTCCCCTTCAAAAAGAAGCATTTAGCATTCTAGAGTCAAAAGACTCCACCTTACAATAGTGATATATCTGTGCTTTGGGCAATTACTCTGGTATTTCTTTCTACAAAGATACTTATTCCCACTTAACAGATGGGGCAAGTGAGACACATAGAGCGGTAATCATCTACTATGTGATGTTCCATCAGGGATGAATTTGTCCCAGAGATGTTGAAGCCAATATTTTCAAACTTGGATGTCTAAAGCTAGGCACCTAGAGCCCATTGAAGTCAGTGGAAATACTCCTATTGACTTGACTAAGCTTTGCATCAGGCCCCTAATTACACAAATAAATGTCCTAATTTAGGAGGTGCTGAGTACTTGCAGCTCCTGTTGAATGTTCTTCAGGCGTAGGCCACAGAGTATGAGGGGCGTTAGAACTCAAGAGTTCCTGGAGCCCAGACCATTGGTCAGTCCTCTAACCACTCTGCCTCACTACAGTAGAGTTTTTATTTGTGCTACACTGTACCCCATTAAACCCTGGCCTGTACAACTCCCTCCTACGTCCGACCAGTGAGGTACAGGAGTACTATTTAAAGTAATTAAAAAGAAAAGGAAACCTCACAGAAGATAGGTTTGTTATAACACCAATGCTGCTTTGCATATAATGTAGATCTGTAGTGACACCTCACTTCCCTCACTTTTTTATACAGCATGAATTCCTTACTAACACTCTAGAGCAATTCTACCCTCTTGAGAAAAGTTAGAATTATCAACATCCTGTTCCCATCTATAATGCATGGCATAGTAAAAGCATGTTGCAGTATCAGTGGGCAGAAGACTGGTGATATTCAGCAACATGTGCTGTAGACAGCATCTATCTTTAGTGCCAGAGTGCTTTTAAGGTGATGAAAGACCTTCCTTTCTGCTCAGAAAAGACAAGACTTCTATTTATTATTTTACATATATAGGATGCACTTACACAACAGATTGGACTGAAGTCCTGGAGCCAACTCAACCATAGTGAGAAATACAAAGTCAATTGTAACATGTGCTACGGGGATTTGGAATCAAAATACTTCAGCTCTGCACTTCACATTTTAAAATTCTAGGAACAGGATGCAACGGCTTGACTTTCAAAATGGTGTCCCCTGCCAATCCTTTTAAAATAAAATGAGGCCACCTTACAAAATCCAAGCTGTAGTTTTATACACATGGGCAGGTGAGGGTAGAATTTGGGCCAGTGGGTTCAAAAATTGAGCAGATACTGATTTCAGCATGAACAGAAACACATATTCATGGCATGCAAGCTATTTGAACACGCCAGACTTAGAATTCAGAAGTGTCTAACTCCCAGCCCCACACTCAAGTCACTAGACCAAACATCCTTGCTAATTATAAGAAACTTGCATTTTATCCTTTCAGGATGCAGAAGTTCCCTCAAAGACATAAAATGACTCACAGTAATTTCAATTTTAAACCAGAGCGAACGAATTAGGTTTTATACATAAGCAACAAGAGCGTGTATTTAAATACAGTGCCTAGTATAAGACTCTTAACTCCACTGCAGATTTTCTTCTTATTTAACAGACAGTATTTATTTTTGCATATGTATGCAATTTTCCAAAGCAATAAAAAGGGCACTTTAAGCGCTGTAATACAGCTCATCTTTTATTGTTATAGACAATGAGGAGTACATACAACATAATGGTTACCGTCACAGCTGGGAACTTGCAATGAATTCTACATGGCAAACATCCACCTATTTTTCACTCTGCTTCGAACTCACGATACGATGCGTGTGTGAAAATTCAAATGCTATCGACCACTTTCTAAATGCAATGCATGACATACCAAACAATATTATTTGCTTGTAAGACTTTCCAGACTCTTTAAGGTGTTGCAACAGTAATAAGCGTGCAAAATATTGATAGAAAGCCATGGATACTATATTTACCCCCACTCCCCAAAGGGTGAGGCTGTGCTAGAAAATCCACAGGTTCAATGATGCATACAGGGTGAAATTTACCCCTTGTGCAGAGGTCAGCACAAGGCCACTTAAGTCCAAGTGGGAGTTAAGTGGTGCATTGACCTTGTGCTGTCTCTTTGCAAAGGGGTGGGTTTCACCTAATGTCTTCTGCCTGTAGAAAAATACGTGATCTGTAGCAGAGACATCTACAGCTACCCACTAGCCATGGTGAACTACTTTAGAGCACGGTGCAATGAGACTAGAAATAGTTTTCTATTTTATAACCTGGTCCCGCAGCCCTTATTACACACAAAACTCTTCCTGACTTCACTGGAGGATCTGCACAGGAGGCTCAGTAAATATTGGTCCCTGATGATCTGCACAAGTGGCTTCTCTTGCAAGGTGCAAGGCATGATTCACACCTGTAATGAAGAGTGAGAGGAGGTTTCTCCTTTCCCTGGAGAATGTGGGGCCCAATCCTAAAGTCTTTTCTCAGGCAAAACTCCTGTTGAAGTCACAGGGTGAAATTCACCCCATGCAGAAAGCCAGCTCAAGGTTGATGCATTTAAATCCCACCTGAGCCCCACATCTTAAGGAGGATTTAAATGATGCACAGATCTACAGCTGGCTCTCCCCACGGGGCTGAATTTCATCCAAACTGACGGACTGCAGGATCGGGCCCAAGAGAGCCGCAGCACGTAAGGTCCTCCACCACTGACAATGAATTCGGATACTGTGAGTCATTTCTGTTTACTGGTTGTTGTAAATGTCAAATGAACATCTGGAGATGTTCAACAGGATGTTGGTGTTTGGCAGCAGGGTCTCAGATGAGTCAGGTATATCACCCTGGAAGCTGTTTACAGGATGCCTCCTGCAAGCTGTCAGGACTTGAGCCCCAGCATGGTTTTATAATTACAGCCCTGCGGGTGTTGTGCTTAGAACGCCTCATCCTCCAGTTTTGCCAAAATGTTTAGCAATTCGGACACTACTTGTAGCCCAAGGGACACTGGTAACCCCAAAGCGAATCTTGACGTTCTTCCCCATATCTCACTTTGTATGTAATTTATAGGTATGTAATTATGATAATAAATGTTTCAAAGCTAATTGTTTCATTAAGGAAAAAAAGTAGAAGCCCCTCCATTCCTGAGCAGCCCGACAGTAACCTGTCAGTCACTTCTGGAAAGGTGCTATTGAATTCAATAGGAATTAAACAATGAGAATGAACAGATATTACTCTGAAAACCTGGGTCATTTCAGACAGAGAATACTGTCCTGTCTATAGAACTTGTAAACCAGCCTATAGCATTCTATAGCCAGGATATAATTCTCTATTAATTCTACAAGATGGTTTAAGAACCCTGGAGAAAGTTTGTTATTTTCTATAAGACTTTTCCACAAGAGGTTTGCCTGGCAAACAAAATGGAGATGAAAGACTTGAAAAGGGATCATATTTCACTTGCAAGGTTTAAAGGAGTAACACGGCCAGCTAGTGCAGACTGCTGCGTGTCTCCTCAGAGGTCCTGAGCACCCTCATTTTCCACTGACGGCAGTGTGGAGCTGAAGGCACTTAGCAGGATCACCAGACAGGAAACAATCAACAGCTTGCTGCAGCAGGATCCTAGGGTGAAATTCATGCCTATTCAGAAGGCTCACTCAAAGGCTATGCACAATTTAAGCACCACTTAACTCCCCAAAATAGGACTTACCGGGGACTTAAGTGAGGCATAGGCATTGTGTAGAGCCTCTGCCAAAACCATGTGAAGAAGGTCAGCTGAAAGGTTCAATCCAATACGTGGTTTGCTTAATAAAGGGCACTTCTTCAGAAAGTTTTGGCAGGTACATCCTGTTAAGCTGCCAGGCAGCATTCATGTGATTGCTAATGTTGCTGATTACTTTCCCTTCCCACGCCCCGCAGCCCAGTTAACCCTTTCTCTCCCCTCTCCCAAAAAAAACCCAACCAAACCCCAAGATCAGATCTACTGTATGGCTGTATGTTGTGAGATGCAAATAACGGTATATAACATACTAGATACTGATACAATTGGTATATTAATATGATAGATAACTGCTTTGTTCACACTGCAAAGCAGTAAATGTTAACCATTATTTTCTACATCAAACTGACTTTTTGTAGATAACTCTTTAGCTGAACATCATTGTAGAATAAGCTGCTTTTGGATGTGTAGGGTCATATTTTGACATTGGATACACCCATCGTCAGTCATCAGTAAATCCAATGGAAACCCCTTGGGGCCTCATCCCCAGTTGGTATGAACTGGTGTAGTTCTTTAGTGGACCTATGCTAATTTACATCTGTGGAAGACCTAGCCTGAACATCCAAGGGCAAAACTTGACTTGAAATTTCAGAATAATGCAAATCTATTGTTACATAAATCGTAGAAGTGCAACTTTGGCACTGTTTCTTCTTTGACATTTCAGCATGTGTGACAAGAGATACAGTAATGATCAACTATGTCAAAGCAAAAAAGGTCTAACTCAGTTGAATTTGTACAGATGAAAACAATCTTTTCCTTACATTGTGACATATGCTCACAACCTATCCTCAATAAATCTGTCCGTAGTTTATTCAATAGCATTTTTAAAATGAATAATGTCCATTGGCCATGTCCCAGTGCTCATTTCAGTGCATTGCAGGAAAGCAATCACATAGGCCTCTCTTTTCTGCTCTCAGGAGGAGGGTTTCTGTCTGCAAAAGAACATTAAATCATGGAATTTAATATATCACTTTAAAGGAATATATAATTGATTAGATCTAATCCCTCAGCACCGCAATTGTCAGGGGGCCTTGTGGAATGAGAAATCATGGTTATTATAGCTGGTTTATATGGTGACTTACCTGGCAAACTGGTACATAATAAGCATGTTCAGAACTGAGGAATACAGACTAAACTGCATGGAAAATATTTGGTGGTTTTAATGTTTTCACTTTCACAGTTAACCTCAAGGGGTTAGATTGTCAGAATTTATTGAAGTGTCTTTTATAAATTCTGGGCAAAACTCCACTCAGTCACACTCTTAATTCCTTCCACTTAACAGGAAGACATCAGCTATTGATGTGCCCAGAATTGTATAATTTAATAGTACCACTTACTGTGCTAAGGGTCCGATTCCGCTCTCAGCTACACACCTGTAAATCCAGAACAACTCCAGTGAATTCTTTGGGGCTGCCAATTTAACTTCCCTGCCCCAACTTTTCTGAATCTGGACCTTTTCAAGGTAGGTCTGGGCTCGAGCTTGTGGTCCTGTTTTAACTGGAGTTAATTTATGTTACAGTTACATACTGTTACAATACTGCCAAACCCAAGTGCTCAGAAATCATGAGTCAGACTCTCAAAACCCAGGAGACTAGCTCAAAAATTCAAGATTAAAACAACAAACAAATAAATGTCTTTATTTGACTTTTTGGTTTAGTGCTTTTAGGGGTAATGTTTCTCTGTAACCATGAGGGTTAGAAACTTACTTTTAAAAAAATGAAAGCTGAAACTCCCACCTACTCCCATCACTACAGAAGCTGGGGCTTTCAGACCAAATATCACAGGACTCACAATAAAAACATGACTGTTGGCACTAACTCAAGATAGCGATGACAACAGTATCTGGACACTTCACAAACATTTGTTGCTGGATGTAAGTAACCTTTCATGGTTTACCTAGGCTAAATCCAATCCCAGATCAGGAAAGGTGAAATTTACCCTGACATAGAGAGCCTGCACAAGGCCTGTCCAGATTGGTTACGGTAAACCACAAACATTTGTGTTCTGGCATTTTCAATAAGTGTTCATTAATTTGAGTAAATAACCTGAATGAACTAACAGGACCTTTAACCAGCCAACTCTCCTTTGCCATGATGCCTACAAAAAAACTTTGACATTAGGTAGGCAGCTGTTGTGCTAAAATTGCTGCCTATCAGGCTGACCAGAACTGCCTCATTGTTCTCTTGTGTTCCCATTGTCTGTCTGTTTCCACCTGTAGACTCTTTTGTCTTATACTTAGATTGGGAGCGCTTTGGGGCAGGGACTATCTTTTTATTCTGTATTTGTACAGTGCCTAGCACAACAGGGTCTCGTAGGCACTGTGGTAATATAAATAATAATAATAATGGACCACAGACTCCAGTTCAGACATATTTTAGGGTGAAATTCAGCCAGCTCAGGTTCTAACTCTAACTGAAGCCCTGTTTTGTAAGCTTAAATAGCACATTGGCTTTGTGCTAGCTCTCTGCACAGGGTAAATTTCACTATTCCTGATTTGTGATTCAACTGCTTTCCCCTCCTCACTATGTTCCCCCAACCCCTTTTTCTTTTAAATGCAAAAGCTTTGCCTTTCACCTTGACATTAGAATGGAAGGCTTGCTCATTTTTCCTGTTTGCTTTCAATTATTGGCTTGATGCTGCAGTGTGTGTCATTAAACGACGCTCTTTGTGTGATTCAGAGCTGTGCGAGGCGAACATTCTTGTTGTCATAAGCCTAGCAGACAACATAAGATTATTTTAGCACCACAGCAGCTCTTTGGATTTGAATACTTGTGTAGGACCAACGCACTGGCATTCCACCACATGCTTCCTATGCGAGTCTCACAGTCCTTATACAAGCTGGAAGGGATGATCTGGGAGTGTTCAAAAATAATCTCAAAAGCTAATGAATGCAGAAAGATCCCTATCAATGCCACCATTGGTCCCAGGAGTCCCCTAAAAGAACATTACTCTGCAGGCTGTGCTCTTGTAAAAGGTATTCTGAATATTTAGAGTTATTACATTAAATTAATTTGCCGTAAAACTTCACAAAAAGATGAGATGGGCCAAACTCTGACTTGGAATAAGGATAATTGAGGGTGAAATTTTCATAAGGCCGGAAGTGACAGTTGGGTCATCTAGTCTGATCTCCTGTATAATACAAGCCATGGAATTTCACCTAGTTACCTCCTGTACTGATCCCACTAAGCTGTAAATGACTAAGCCACAATTTAAAGAAAGGCAGCCAGTCTTCATCTGAAGACTTCAAGAGATGGAGAACCCACCATTTCCCTGGGTAGTTTGTTCCCATTATCAGTCACCATTTGACTCCTATAATGCAAGATAGAATCATAGGAAGGTAGAAGGCACCTTGAAAGGTCATCTAGTCCGTCCCCCTGCACTGAAGCAGGACTAGATACACTTAAACCATCCCTGACAGGTGATTTAATTTAAATCAGTTTTTATACCAATATAGTTATACCCAGTGCAAACTCCTGTATAGATGCTCTTAGTTCAGATTAATGTAAACCTGTTCCCAAACAACTTAAGTTAAACCAACAAGACCACTCTGATGCTGAAAAAAGAGCAACCGCACAGGGAGTTGCTATGGTTTTATGATATCTGTTTAAATTCATGCCTTAGGTTATATCAGTGCTCAGTTCCCTAAGTGCATCTATGTTTGGGTTTTGCACCAAGTTTAACTAAACTGATTGTGTTAAACCCATTCAAAGCTCTAATGTGAACCAGCCCAAACATGAAAACCCATGCATGTCGTATACCGTACTGACCATGCCATCAGCAAAGCAACCAGAATGCTTGGACACCCATGTGAGCTGTTTAAGCTGGTTTATTATGAACTGGCAGCAATGATGGGTGTAAATGTGACACCACATAAGATTTTCCTCCTCCTTTGTGCTCCCATTCCCTTTTGTCAGTGCTGCTCTACTGTCTCTCTCCACTTTCCACCTTCTGCTGCTGTCCTGTTAACAGCCATTGCTGAGTGGTGACTGAAAATCAAAAAGGAATCCTACAAAAAATTGCTAAGTAGGAGGACAAAAGAATAACACAAGCATGTAGGGACAAAATCAGAAAGGCTGAGGCACAAAATGAGTTACCCCTAGCAAGGGACATAAAAGGCAACAAGGAAAGGTTCTATAAATACATTAGGAAGAAGAGACAGATGAAGGGAAGTGTAGGTCCTCTGCTTAGAAGGGAAGGAGAGCTAATAATGGGTGACATCAAGAAGGCTAAGATGTTCAGTGCCTGTTTTGTTTCAGTCTTCACTAAAAAGGTTAATTATAACAAGGGAAGGAATGCAAACCAAAATAGGGAAAGAACAGGTTACATAATAGTTAGATTTCAGAGTAGCAGCTGTATTAGTCTGTATCCGCAAAAAGAAAAGGAGTACTTGTGGCACCTTAGAGTCTTAACAAATTTATTACAGCATAAGCTTTCATGAGCTACAGCCAATGAAGTGAGCTGTAGCTCACGAAAGCTTATGCTCTAATAAATATAATAGTTAAATGTTTTCAAGTCAGCAGGGATCGTTGAAATTCTTTCTAGGTACTTAAGGAACTAGCTGAAGCAATCTCAGAACCGTCAGAAATTATCTTTGAAAACTCACGGTGGAATGGTGAGGTCCCAGAGGACTGGAAAATGGCAAACAAAGAACCTAGTTTTAAAGAGGGGAATGGAGGGGTTGCAGGGAATTTTTGATAGGTCAGTCTAACTTCAATACCTGGACAGATACTGGACCAAATGATTAAGCAATCAGTTTGTAAACACCTATAGGATAATAGGGTGATAAGTAATAGCCAACATGAATTTGACAACAAATCATATCAAACCAACCTAATTTCCTCTTTGACAGGGTTCTTGCTCTAATAGATATATCTTTATTTTAGTAAGGCTTTTGACACAATCCTACATGACATTCTCAAACAACAAGCTAGGAAAACGTGGTCTGGATGAAATTATTATAAGGGGGCATAAAACTAGTTGAAAGACCATCCTCAAAGAGTAGTTATCAATGATTCACTGTCCAATTGGGAGGACGTATCTACTGGGGTCCCGCAGGAGTCTGTCCTGGCTCCAGAACTACTCAATATTTGTATTAATGACTTGGATAACAGAGTGGGGAGTACACTTATAAAATCTGCAAATGACACCAAGCTGGGAGGGGTTGCTAGCACTTTGGAGGACAGGATTAGAATACAAACAACCTTGACAAATTAGTCCAAAATCAACAAGATGAAATTCAATAAAGACAAGTGCAAAATACTTCATCTAGGAAGGAAATATCAAATGCACAACTGCAAAATGGGGAATAACTGGCTAGTACTGCTGAAAAGGATCTGGGAATTATAGTCGATCATAAATTGAATATGAGCCAACAGTGTGAGGCAGATACACATTCTGGGCTGTATTAACAGGAGTCTGTATGTAAGATATGGGAGGTAATTGTACCCCTCTACTCGGCATTGGTGAGGCCTCAATTGGAGCACTGTGTCCAATTCCGGGCATCACACTTTAACAAAAATGTGGACAAATTGTGGTGAGTAGAGAGGAGAGCAACAGAAAAGATTAGAAAACCAGACCTATGAGGAAAAGTTTAAAAAACCCAGGTTAGACAAACACCACTCAGCAATGGTCTAGGTCAGAGGAGGCCAAACTGCGGCTCGCGAGCCGCATGCAGCTCTTTTATAGTTGAAAGTGTGGCTTGTGGAGCCCCGCCCACCCCCCCGTCTCCCCATTATCCACCTACCAGATGTGGGGGGGCGGGGGGCAAGCTCAAGGTTTCTACCCTGCAGTGGGGTGGTGGGGTTAGGGGCTTCTGCCAGAGATGACTGGTGCCTGCTGAGTGTTGGGGGACTAATTAAAGGTTTGGCCCTGCAATAGCTTAAGTCATGCCCCTCAGACACGCCGCCCCACCTCTTACCCTCAGTGGCCCCTCCCTGCAGCTTCCAGGTGTTAGCTCTAGGTGGAGAGGCAGTGGCTGAGAGCTGCAAGGAGGGGCTGCTGCTTTAGTTCCAGGGAAGAGGCATCAGCAAAAGCAGCGGCTCTTCCTGCAGCTCCCAGCTGTTTGCCACTGCCTCTCCCCATGGCCACAGCCCCCAGCTTGCTGGCTCCAGTAACTGCCATGCATAGAGGGGCCCAGTGGTACCATGTGACTGAGCAGGGCCAGCAAACCTGGGCGGGGCCACCTGACCCAACCTGTCTCCCTTATGTGTCGACAGTGGGGAGGGGAGTCTTGGGGCTTTAGCCCCGTGGGGCACACCTGCCAGGGCTTGGGGCTTCAGCAGGAGCAGGGCTGAAGCCCCGAGCCCCAGCAGGCACCTCCCGTGGGGCTGAAGCCCTGAGCCCGTCAGGCGCACCCCGGCTCTCAAATGTCTGAAGAGTGTCATATGCGGCTCGGAGTAAGTTTGGCCACCCTTGGTCTAGGTATACTTGGTCCTGCCTCATCACAGGGGGATGGCCTCTCAAGGTTCTTTGTAGCCCTACACGCCTATGATTGTGATGGGAAAGGTAAGTCACCCTTCTTACTCTTCTCTCTCCTCTTCTCCTTCTCCCTATGTGGGCTATATGCAGGAACCAGTTGCTGTAGTTCTCTAGCCTGTGTAATGCAGGAAATCAGACTAGATGGTCGCAATGGTCCCTTCTGGCCTTAAAATCTACTAATCTCTGCTTGTCCCCAATACATCTGCATAGTACAGTCCTATTTGTTTGAAATGAAAATGAGTCAGCAAAAGATGTTATGTCAGCTTTACTCAGTCAAGGCAAATTGGTACATTAAGCCTAAGTATCATTTCTAAGGTAACACCTACCCGTGTGTCTAGATTGTACGCAGTCTTCTTTAAATCCTGCAGGGCCCTCTGCATGAATTCAAATGCATGGCAGTCAACACAAGGACGACCTGGGAAAGGATGCAGCAGAAAGACGTCACTGAAATCACATGGAATTGACATCATGGCAATGCCAAGAGAAAATATGATCTTGTATTTCCGAGAAAAGTACATTTAACAACGTGAATGGGCCTGGGTTGCACACACAAAATGCCCAGTGTGCATGCACAGGATGGGGCTGCACGTACACAAAAGTATATGCCTGTATGTGCAAATCCCCTGTTCACATGTCATTGCAAATATAGATGCACATTTTTGCACACCTGCTTTTGAAAACCTGGACCAAAGCTGCTGAAGAACCTGACCCTGGAAGGTGTTGCATGCCTTCAACTCCCATTCACTTCCCTGGAGTGGAAGCACTCAGACCCTCACATGAACGGGTCAGCTCCCTGCAGGACAAGACACTGTGGAGACATTTTCAGTGGTTCCAGAAATGATACAGACAAGTTATTTGTTCAGAAGCCCTCATGCATGTCTTGGCGAGGGAACATGCCCAATCTGGGTTTTCCTCCTTTCAGCTGCTGCCATATTGTGGGGGGGGAGGGAAATATTCCTGCTTAGGGCCCCCAATGGGCTAACACCGACACTGCCCATCCAACACTGGTCTAGATCTCAGTCTCCTGCATTTGACTAATGAATTAAGAAAGCCTGCCCTCTGAAGGGAAATACATCATATAAAACGTCAACCTCTGGATAAATAGGAAATAAGGAGATTGTGATGTACAATGATAATAGAGCATCCACTCCCAGAGAAAGGGAGCCAGATCCTGGCCCATCTACAGCCCCTTTGTGCTGTTCTGACAATGCAAAGTGGTCAGAAAGCTGCCTTAGCCATTCAGCTGACGAGAACCTCAGGGTGGGGGAGTCCCTGGTGTAGGGAGTGTATCAAAAGAGGAATGAGGAGAGGGATGTAGCCAAAGCACTTCTGTGCTCCGTCAATCCACAGCAGGCATAACAGCCCTTTGGGGGCCATTATCCACCAGGAAAAGTTCTGGCAGCCCTGAGGCTCCTCTAACTTGCAACAGAAGTCAAACGAGTGCCTTGGTTGTGTGGATGAGGTGAGCAAGCATCTCTCACGTTGTCACACACTGAAATTCACGTCTGGCTGAGCTTTGAACTGAGGAGACTCAGATAGCTGGAAACTGCCTTTACCCCATCCCCATTCTGGAACCAGCAAAACACTTTTATGATAATTTTGTAAGAGTGACTTAATCCTTTTTTTTTTATTCCCTCTTCCACCTAATCAGGAAGGGTATCATTGTGTCTGAGGCATTTCTGACAGTTGAATATCTTCTGTAGTGTTCAAAAGCTTTAGTGATAGCCTTTCTTTAACACCTTGGCAATTTATAACCGACTATCTACTGCAATATGAATATTTTTCTAAGTTAACACTTTACTGTCTGTAGTTTATAATTGTATTCTCATTGATTAATGTGGATGATTGTGATGAGAATGAACTGTTTGCTTTATAGCACATCTGTACGTACGTGGACATCAGTCTACAGCGAGACTAAGGCAAGACATCAACAGTCCACATTCTTTTAACCTTTCCTCAGAGATCCTATTTTTCTGAACCTCCACTGTTGCTGTCCTATGATATGAACTCAAATTTCTAACTCTTCTCCATTTTTCTCGATCCTTTTTGCAGAGGACAACTATTGGCTTTTGAAACATGCCAGGCATGGACATTGCTGCATTAAGAGGCATTCCCCTATAAACGACAAGTGTCATCAGCAAAGGCATTTTTCTCCAGGGCTGGGTTGAGTGGTGGAGAGGGGCTGGCTATAAGTCAGCCTTTAAAGTAACTCAGATTTGGAATGGTTTAAACAAAAGGGGATTTTTTTAAAGATTTTTGGTCTAATCACATTTTAACTGCTGAGCACCGGATGAGAACCAGCGGAAAGAAGACTAGCTTTCTCCGTCTTTTATCAGTGAACATATTACTAGCTTGGCATCGCAGCCTACTTTCTTAAATTACTGCATGTCTTTTGTAAGAGAGTCTTGTGATGACTCGGTACGGTAAGGAGCTGCCCACGCTGAAGTTGTGGTCACTAAAACATTTACGACATCATGACTTGGTGGTGCAAAAATGAAAGTAAGAAATGCTCATCTCAAGATGAGACACCTGTCTCTGTCTCCATAAGGCAGTGACACTGCAATCGGCAGTCAAACGCTGACTACGCCCCTCACAAAAACCATCAGCGAGCAGGGCAGAAACTGACAGGCATTAGTTTGCAGGATCTCACACTGATGACTGGGAGACAGTGAAGATTCCCCAAGGATGTGTGCTAGAGTGAGGCTGAAATTCACCTCTGAAGAGGGTCATCTCAAGGTCTATGTGCCACTTAACCCCAGTTACACTCTGAATGTGGAGCATCAGCCTTGTGCTGTCCCTCGGCACACAGGCAAATTTCACCCTAAGCAAATAAACAAGGGCAGGGCTGTTTTAATTGTGTGTAATGATTTATAGGATGCACCTACACAAACTGTAGTATATTTTGCCACAGTGATGACCTCGAGAGCTCAGTACAACATTCTGAATCTGCTATTCAATCTTTTCTGAGGAGTGGGGACCAGCTGGCATTTTGTGGGGGAAGATTTAACAGGTTTGTGCAGAATGAGAACACTCAAGATTCTAGTATAATTAAATTTAAATGGATTCTGTCTACATGGAAATTGAAAAATGCCTTGCTTCTGTTTCTGCGGTCCTCCTAGTAAACAATTGAAACCGAAATAATTTCAGAAGACTAATTTACTTTCCGTCACGTGTGCAATTTATTTACTCTGCATTTTGTGCAGCTTGGACTGTGAAACTAGACTGGCTGGTTCCCATTTTCAAGCTCTCCTGCACCAGCATAAGGTTGTTGTGTTCGGGTTATAAACACAACAGGAGAGGTTTACATTTTTATTAAAATTGGTTTTCATTGAAATTTAAAGAAAACTATTCTAAAAACATTGATATTGTTTAATGTTTGCACAGTCCTTTGCAGATGTTAAGCACTAAGTACGAGGTACTGATTATTCATTGCTAATTACTATTCATAATCAGCTAGGTCCTGCTTTCTGCTTCACTTCTGAGCAAAATGGGAAACAGGACCGGGCATCTGAAGCCTCCTTCCACCCCAAACAGCAGGGCAAGACAAGGTCAAGAGAACTCTAGCAGGCAGGACCAGTAAATTCATCAGCCCATACACCACTTGCCCAAGAGGGTGTAGTCTGCCAGCTAGGGAGTGCCTGGTATTCGCCCGAGCACTCTTATGTGTACTGCGGTCAGCAGCACACAGTAGCTGGAAGCTACATGGTGCTCCTGCTCATAGCAATAGCAAAGTGCACTTCATCATGCATCTCCCAGGCCTGCCCTGAAGCATGCAGTCTTGGCTGGCAGGATTCCCACACTGCAGAAACTATCTGCCAGTGTCCTTGTTCTCACTTGCAGCAGCAAGGAGTGCAAATGCTCTCCTGCACTGGGTTTGTTAGGTTTGGAAAGCCTCCCTCACCCACCCCCCTCTTTGACAAAACTTAAATGTAGGGTCCATACTAATTTAACACCTCCACCATCATACCCCTCACTTGTGGGGTTCCTCAAGAGTCAAGGACTCTCTCCAGGCCTGTTCAACATCTACATGCAGCCACCAGGTGAACTGGTCAGATGACATGCACTTAGGTGCTAACAATACACAGGTGGCACATGTCTCTACCTATCCTTCATCCCATAGAGCCATGCCACTACTGTCAAGATTGGGCAAGCTCAGCTCACAGATGTAGAACAGCTGGTTGAAGATGAATCCAAGCAAGACAGAACTTAAGGAAGTGGGCAGAAGAAAGCACTTTGAGTAGTTTGTAGCCACAAGCAGTCTCCTTTGGTTAAAGATACTCACCAACAATTCACTCAGGGATGCCCCTGGATTCCTCACTGGCATTAAGTTCTCACATTGCAGCATCACAGGCAAAGCATTCTACCTTTTATAGCTATCCTGACAGACAATGACCTGCCCTCCGTTACACACACACACCTTTCTCACTTCCCAGTTGGGCTCCGGCAAGCAATGCTGTCTACCTGGGCAAAATGTCGCAGGTCCTCAGGAAATGCCACCTAGAAGCTATATAGCAGCACCAGCTACAGGAGTACATCATACCTGTCTTCCACTCACTGCACTGGCCTCTTCCCATACCATATTATGTCAAAGGCAAGGCCTCGTTCTGAATCTTCAAGGTGCTCAACAGCCTGAGTCTAGGGTATCTAAAAGCTCAGGGCTGAGGAGCATGGTTGACAGTGCTGTTCACTAGAACTCTCTACCACACAGAGGGAGATCATCTGTGAAGGAGTCAGGAGCCCACGACTGGGGAATGAACTGCCATGAACAAAGAACCATCAAAACGCTTCACTACCTTCCATTTAATGTGCAAAGTGCACTTGTTTGCCCCACCTTTGCTAATATAAACACATAGCACAGGGCACATATATTAATGCACTACTGGAAGGCGCTTGGATACTACAGTGATGAGGGCGATAGAAGAGTTTGAATAGAACAAGAAAAACAGAATTTAACAGTGTCTCTCTAATAAAGAGGAGACTAGAACAGAAAAGAACAGAACAGGGGATTTTACCCTCTAGTCCCATGTAGGTACCAAGGGTTCATCTGAAAAGCAGCTATGTTATCCCAGGAAAGTAAAATGTAGTGACCAAATCAACTTTTGAATTAAAAGCTTTGGTGGCAGGAGAATGGATGGAGATGGCTGTGATAAAATCTGACATTGATTTATGTTTAGGGACCAGTCTTATTTATGCAGTCACCTTCCACACTTTTTAAAACTCTGCGTGAGAGCTGCCTGATATTTTTATCACTCTAGGGAGTGGCCATTCTGCGCTTCTGGAGCACTTTTCATTGTCAGACCACTTTACAACACTATCTTCTCAAAACATCCTCACATCATCTCTGTTACTGTTATCCTCCTCTTTTCACTGGGTGAAACTGAATCAGTGACTGGCCCAAGGCCACAACAGCAGTCAGTGCTAAAGCTGGGATTAGAACTTGGGAGTTCCTGGCTCCCAGACCTGTGCTCAGATGGCTACCTCACATTTTAATATTTTGCTCTGATGTACAGCAGTGTAATTCCAGAATTCCACATCCATGTCAGGGATAAACTCTGTGGGTCAAATTCCTTTGTGTAAATCCACTGGGCTTACACCAAAGATGAATCCAGCCCAATATGCCTTGTTCCAACCGAATAACAAAAAACATAAAAAACATGCCTGCAACACCCTAGCACAACTAAGCAACAGTTTGCGTGTAACAGCATCCAGACTAGTAAGGATTTCATGTGTACAATTGCACACCTAGAGTATCTTCTTGCAGACTTCTGGAAGAAAACAAAAATGGCCTAAGACTATACAGGTTTAAGATAACATCAGATAAATATTTAGTAGTTACTTTGTTTTCAAATAAGTGCTAATGAAAAATAATAATAATGCACACATTAGTTGACTTTCCTGGTGTGCTACAAACCAATTTGCACTTCCTAGCAAAATTAAGAAGGGCAGCCTACACATGGAGCTCATGAAATTTGTGCATTCACTGGATGAAGTAAGGGACATAAACAATGCAGAAATTCTGCTTCTGAATCTGAGCCACCATAGCGTGGCAGGGGTACATACTTTCTGCTGGAATGACACTCCCAGATTCTTGACTGGCCCCGACCAGCTTCACACTCAATAGGCCAACCACTGAAATTAACGGGATTGCCATCCACATCGCTCTCCAGACAGAAGGAGACGCCATTATTATCATCAAGAATTAAAGCTTCCTTCCCAGCCTGAAACAAGAAGAAATAGGAAAGATCAACTGTTTGCTCCCAGCACATTCAGCCTAATGAAGCAGATGTGAAATGACAGCCGTAGGTACACATGCACACACACACAGACCCCAATGCAGCCATGGGCCATGCACTTGGAAATGAAACTCACCCAAACTACTAATTTGCTAAGTGCCTGATCTTCCTCTGTCTTTTGTGACAGACCTTTGGAAATGGCAGTAGCAAGCAGCTAAGGGAACCACTGCAGCCATACTGAGCATGCGTCCCCTGCATTCCCCCTCTCACTGATTAGGGTCATTGCCATGGAGATTCACTATAGCAACATATAAGAACTGAGCTGCCAAGGAGAGGAGAAGATTTAAAGGGGCAGCGACAGGACTATGGTAGCTGCTTTGTTTACTAATTGTCTCTGTTCTTGGATGGTCGCTTACTCTCATGGGCATACATCGGCATACTTCAGTGACTGCTGCAACATGTAATATAACAAAGATATTTATGAATTTTTGGATTGTTGCCTTTATTCCAAAATGTGGCTATGCTGAAATGTACAGCTCCTAACCCTTACTTAGCTGCGAGACATTTACAGCAGGATTTCAGCTGGAGCAGAATCAGGCACCGGGTGTCCAACTCTTGCTCTTTCTGGCAGAGACTCTGTTCTGCGTCTAGTACTAGGCAGGGCATGTCATCCGTGCTTAACAAGCAACACTAGTTATAAACCCACCCCTTATGGCCAATAGAAGTGAATGTGAGCCAACCAGATGAGTCATGCCTTCCAACCTGTTTCCATGAGTCAGACATAGAATCACAGAAGGTCACACGGATGGCCCCAAGCCAATATCCCAGAGATAAACACCCTGAGTTTTGGGGGAGTTCATAATCCAAAGCCAACTCTGGATCTGAGTTTCTGTTAATGTCCTGTAGAAGGTGCACAACCATCAACAGTGCTGCCTTGTGGTCAGGCAGCGGTTAGCAGGATGTCTCCCCCTTGAAGTATAGTCCAGTGCTGTCCTGTCCTTCAGCACCTCCCTCCCAAGGATTTCCAGTCCTCCCCTTTAGCACAGGGGCTTTGGGGGCTGGGCCCATGAACAATCGCAGTCTTTTCCAGGTTTCAGAGTAGCAGCCATGTTAGTCTGTATTTGCAAAAAGAAAAGGAGTACTTGTGGCACCTTAGAGACTAACCAATTTATTTGAGCATAAGCTTTTGTGAGCTACAGTTCACTTCATCGGATGCATAATTAAAGTGGAAAATGCAGTGAGGATGTTTTTATACACACAGACCATGAAAAAATGGGTGTTTATCACTTCAAAAGGTTTTCTCCCCCCACCCCACTCTCCTGCTGGTAATAGCTTATCTAAAGTGATCACTCTCCTTACAATGTGTATGATAATCAAGGTGGGCCACTTCCAGCACAAATCCAGGGTTTAACAAGAACGTCTGAGGAACAGGGGGGGAGGGAAAGGGGGTAGGAAAAAACAAGGGGAAATAGGTTACCTTGCATAATGACTTAGCCACTCCCAGTCTCTATTCAAGCCTATTCCTCTATTCAAGGAAAAATCATGGAGCAAGTCCTCAAAGAATCAATCCTGAAGCACTTGCATGAGAGGAAAGTGATCAGGAACAGCCAGAATGGATTCACCAAGGGAAGGTCATGCCTGACTAATCTAATCACCTTTTATGATGAGATTACTGGTTCTGTGGATGAAGGGAAAGCAGTGGATGTATTGTTTCTTGACTTTAGCAAAGCTTTTGACACGGTCTCCCACAGTATTCTTGTCAGCAAGTTAAGGAAGTATGGGCTGGAAGAATGCACTATAAGGTGGGTAGAAAGCTGGCTAGATTGTCGGGCTCAACGGGTAGTTATCAATGGCTCCATGTCTAGTTGGCAGCCGGGATCAAGTGGAGTGCCCCAAGGGTCGGTCCTGGGGCCGGTTTTGTTCAATATCTTCATAAATGATCTGGAGGATGGTGTGGATTGCACTCTCAGCAAATTTGCGGATGATACTAAACTGGGAGGAGTGGTAGATACACTGGAGGGGAGGGATAGGATACAGAAGGACCTAGACAAATTGGAGGATTGGGCCAAAAGAAATCTGATGAGGTTCAATAAGGATAAGTGCAGGGTCCTGCACTTAGGACGGAAGAACCTAATGCACAGCTACAGACTAGGGACCGAATGGCTAGGCAGCAGTTCTGCGGAAAAGGACCTAGGGGTGACAGTGGACGAGAAGCTGGATATGAGTCAGCAGTGTGCCCTTGTTGCCAAGAAGGCCAATGGCATTTTGGGATGTATAAGTAGGGGCATAGCGAGCAGATCGAGGGACGTGATCGTTCCCCTCTATTCGACATTGGTGAGGCCTCATCTGGAGTACTGTGTCCAGTTTTGGGCCCCACACTTCAAGAAGGATGTGGATAAATTGGAGAGAGTCCAGCGAAGGGCAACAAAAATGATTAGGGGTCTGGAACACATGAGTTATGAGGAGAGGCTGAGGGAGCTGGGATTGTTTAGCCTGCAGAAGAGAAGAATGAGGGGGGATTTGATAGCTGCTTTCAACTACCTGAAAGGGGGTTCCAAAGAGGATGGCTCTAGACTGTTCTCAATGGTAGCAGATGACAGAACGAGGAGTAATGGTCTCAAGCTGCAGTGGGGGAGGTTTAGATTGGATATTAGGAAAAACTTTTTCACTAAGAGGGTGGTGAAACACTGGAATGCGTTACCTAGGGAGGTGGTAGAATCTCCTTCCTTAGAGGTTTTTAAGGTCAGGCTTGACAAAGCCCTGGCTGGGATGATTTAACTGGGAATTGGTCCTGCTTCGAGCAGGGGGTTGGACTAGATGACCTTCTGGGGTCCCTTCCAACCCTTATATTCTATGATTCTATGATTCTATGATAAGCCTGAGTTAATTGTATCTAATTTGCAAATGAATTCCAATTCAGCAGTCTCTTGCTGGACTCTGGTTTTGAAGTTTTTCTGTTGTAATATCGCAACTTTCATGTCTGTAATCGCGTGACCAGAGAGATTGAAGTGTTCTCCGACTGGTTTATGAATGTTATAATTCTTGACATCTGATTTGTATCCATTTATTCTTTTACGTGAGACTGTCCAGTTTGACCAATGTACATGGCAGAGGGGCATTGGTTGCACATGATGGCATATATCACATTGGTAGATGTGCAGGTGAACAAGCCTCTGATAGTGTGGCTGATGTTATTAGGCCCTGTGATGGTGTCCCCTGAATAGATATGTGGGCACAGTTGGCAACGGGCTTTGTTGCAAGGATAGGTTCCTGGGTTAGTGGTTCTGTTGTGTGGTATGTAGTTGCTGGTGAGTATTTGCTTCAGGTTGGGGGGCTGTCTGTAGGCAAGGACTGGCCTGTCTCCCAAGATTTGTGAGAGTGATGGGTCGTCCTTCAGGATAGGTTGTAGATCCTTGATAATGCGTTGGAGAGGTTTTAGTTGGAGGCTGAAGGTGACGGCTAGTGGCATTCTGTTATTTTCTTTGTTAGGCCTGTCCTGTAGTAGGTGACTTCAGTCTTTTCCAGCTGGTCTCTCAGCAGAGGTGAAGGCTATTGTTGTAGTATTGTCCTCTTGGACTGGGTAGGGGAGGCCAGGCCCACCCTCTCCTCTGGGCTCCAGTCCAGGGCCCAAAGGCGGACAGCTACATCCGACATCTTGTGGTGCTAAGCCACACTGGGCGACTTCCTACCCCTGTCTCCTTCAGCTTCCCAGAGTAAATCACTCCAACCAAGTCTCTGACCCACACACTCCGACCCCTGCTTCTCCTTTGTGCGTTTGCACAGGTCTCGCTCTCGGTACTCCTGGGCAGTAATTTCCCCTCAGAGCAGCTGTTTGCTCCCTCCCACTGCCCGTCTCTGAACGGCTCTACCCTGCTTTTTACAGCCCTGCCTCCAGTTTGGGCAGGTTTTGGGGCTGCCTTTGCCCACAGCTGTTCCTTAACCCCTTGCTCTCCAGTGTCGGGTTTGTACGCCCCATCAGAGGGCCTATCCTTAGAATGACCCAAACAAAGAACCCAGATCTGAACTCCCCTGAACTCAGGAGCGCTTGAGATGACCCAGAGCTGGCTGAAGCTAAACCTTAGCAAGATAGAAGTAATGCTTGTTGGCAGTGGAAACACTTTGAAAACCAGGTAGCCAGAGCGCAGGTGCCACTGGTTAAGGACACAAACCCACAACTCATCACTTCAGTCTGAATGTTAAGAGTTCTTCTAGACTGACACCCAGCACGCACCGTGACTGGGGAAAGTATTCTGCCACCTCCAGCTGGCGAGGAAACTGCATCCACCTGGACTACAGCAATGTAGTGGACTTGGGTTTGAAAGCACCCGCCCGGAGAAAATGGCCGTTGGCAAAGCAACACAGACTGCCACGTGCACCCGCACTCTCCTCCCTCCGCTGGCTTCCTCCAGAATTCCAAGCTCAGCATCCGTCCTCACAGTCTGGGGCTAGGACACCTTAAAGACCACCTCACACTCCATCTGGGACCTTGACTGCCCCAGTCTCAGTCCTAATGCCCTGGCAAAATGGAGATGTCTATTGGAAGGATGAAGCTTGCCCGTGCAGAAAGACAGGGCTTTTTGGAGCTGACCAAAGTCTGTGGAACTCATTCCTGTAGGAGCCACAGGCCACACCACTTTTTGGTCCAAATGCAAAGTCTATTCCTTAGCCCTTGCCTTAAAAATACCCACTGCACGTGAGCACATCAACTGAAATACCACCCCACCCTTCCCCCCCCCAACCACAGAGCAACTCACATCCAATTTTCTCCCTGAGGCAGGGATCAGAAAGGAGTCCACATTTGACAGATTCTACTCATTTTGTGTCATTTATCTTTTGTAAGGTACTCGGATACCAGATACAGTTACGGGCGTGGTGTAGCAACTTGGAAAAAACAGTAACATTTTGCAGTTTGTGCCCATCTTCACTCTAGTTATCTAGTCCATCCCACAGTGCAGGAATATTCCCT